TTAGGTTTAGGGTTAGGTTTAGGGTTAGGTTTGGGGGGGTCAGGGTAAGGTTTTCGCTTTATTTTTACATTTTTCGATCACAGCGCGATGTTTTCGTCACGCTGTGATGACGTCAAATGCGCGCTTTCATCGAGCGCAATTTTGTCCTCCACGGTTTTGTGGTGGAACCAAAGCTGTTAGATGATGAGAGGTACAGGCTTGATGGCATCAGTGGTAGAGATATTGCATGTTAACAGACAATTTCCCTAGCAACTGAGAAGAGCAGCTTTCTTAGTTATCCAACCCTGTATATGTGCCAAAAGGACCTACTTTCAAAACAGTGGGTTATGGGCTGCAGGTGACTGACTGAATCCAAGCATTGAGAGGAGAACCTAAGCATTGCCCGCCTCTAAATATGGGATTGCTGGGCCACTGGATCACCCTGGATGCATTTGCTTCACCCTGGCACTGAGCTGAATGGGACTTGGTACCGCATGCCTCCCCTACTGCTATTTCTTCCTGAGCCCTCTGCATGTACTTCTCTGGGCCCATCTTCCCTCTTCAGTCTGTTGGCTAATCACCACCCTTTCAGAGTAGCAAAGGAAATGTCCCATTTGCCTACTAAATGGGCCGGTCTTGAGTAGCCCTTGTGCTTGCATGCAATACTTTAAGCCATCCTTACCATATCCTTGCTTGTTGATGAACATTTACTTCTTCTACTTGTACTGTAAGTTTATTAAGATTGCAGTACATGCAGACTGATACCATATGTTTTAGTGATCTGGTGGGTGCTTTCACAAAGACAGTGTTGTGTTGTCGGTCTTTGGCCTCATTGTCCTGTTGTTCAGGCTTATTGCCATGTGCCCAGTGAATGTGGAATGAAATGTCTTCTAATGATTTGTTGACGTCATGCAAGTGGACTTGATTCTTTTATTATCCCGGAGATGCTGTGATTTTGCTGTGCATTCATGAAATTCAGGGAAAGAGAGAATCAAGCCCCAATATGTGATGTTTGTATGGTCCTAGTTGCATGCTGTATGTACTGGTATGTGTTTTTATGTTTCTGACAGGGCACAGATGGATTGAACCCATTTGTTTTCCTTTCCCAGGAGGGAGAGGAGAAGGAGACATCACATGTCTGTGTGGGAACAGCGGACTAGCCGGCTCCGGCGACATAGGCAAATGTCTAGCCAAGAGGGCATCAACAAGGATGAACCTCCTCTGCTCAATCCAAATGCCAGTATTTTTCGGAAAAGAAAGTTACTGGAAAACTCCGGCTTGGAAAAGATTGAGGGTGATCAAGGGGGTAGACCAGAGCAGACAAACGGAGAAAGTCTGGAGCAAAAACCCCCAGGGTCCAAACCCAGCATCCGGGATGACCAGAGAAGTCCATCTCCTCAGGCCAAGAAGGAATGGGAAGAATGGCACCACAAATCATTTCATGGGAATTGTGATATCAATGATCAGGAAAGCAAAGGGAGCGTAAGCTTTGAGGACAGAGCTAGGCTCCGGCAGAGTCAAAGGCGCAGCCGACACCGCCGGGTGAGGACTGAACCCAAGGAGAATAGAACAGTCAGCCAAGAGAATGGGCCAGAAGGAGTCGCACCAGCGAAAGGAGAGCAGAATGGGGACCAAAACGAAAATGGAGAAGAGAAGGAGACCATTGCTGAAAAGGAACCAGTGGCTGACATGGAGCTAAAAAGGTAGGTTCTTGATGGGGCCTCCCCAAGGAAATAAGTAGGTGCGTGCCTATCCATTCTTATTTCTGCTAACCACCAAAATAGGTGATTGCTAAACCTTTATAAACATTTAGTAAAATGCAGCAAATTGTAATGGTCTTCTAGATTGACTATTAATGGCTAATAGCCATTTTACACATTCAGATCATCTAGGAATTATTGGATTGTACAAACAGTTATTAAAGTAATAAGTAGCTGACAATTAAGTGAAACCGAAGTGAAATCCGTTATAGAAACCTGAAAGAAGTGAAGCTAGAGCCCAGGAGAATGGGATTTTTTCCCCTCTGTAGAATATTTTTACCCTAACAGACAGAATTAATAGAATAACAGAGTTGGAAGGGATCTTGAAGGTCTTCTAGTTCAACCCCCTGCTCAAGCAGGAAACCCTATACAATTTCAGACAAATGGTTTCCAATCTCTTCTTAAAACCCTCCAAGGTTGGAGTACCCAGGTCATTCCACTGATTAATTGTTGTCATCATCAGGACGTTTCTCTTTAGTTCTAGAATGGTTCTCTCCTTGATTAGTTAGGGTTAGGGTTAGGGTTAGGGTTATTCATTAGGCTCTTCTCCAGACTATAAAAGGACTGCTTGTGCACATGCCCTTTTTGCAGAAGTCAACGCAGGAACTAATGTTGGAGAACATTATTGTGAGCTTGGCAGGCTGGATTGTTGCCACGACTTATCTGTGCTGGATTGCTCCCCAAGCTTGTCTGTGCCGGTTTGCTGCCAAGGACCTGTCTGTCTGTTAATTAAATGCCGTAACTTATCTTTGACTCGGAGTGTGTTGGTGTGGGAAGAGGGGGGTCAGAAAACGATCCCATAGGACCATCTGCAGGGCGCAGCAGAGCTTACAACTCCTGCAACGAGCGTGTGCACAATCATTCCTTTTATAGTCTTGAGAGGAGCCTAATTACCACCAGCTGAGTGCAATTATCTCCTGTAACTGCGCAACTGTTCTTTATGCCTCTTAGCTCTCCATTGCCGGGCATCCAGGACCAACTCCCTTGTCTCCTCCCCACTGCTCCAATGCATGACATCAGGATCACACTCCCTTGTCTCCTCCCCACTGGTCCAAGGCTCAGGAGCCTCCTGGTGGCCAACCAGCCTCTCTGCACTCTGATTGGAGTCGGAACCCTGTCCGGGGTCCTCCACATCCTCCAGAGCTGACTCATAGGGCCCCTCGCTGTCGGAGTCTGGTGGCAGCTCCAATAGCTCCTGCTGGATCACAACAGATATGGGTATAGAGGTAGATATAGATACACATGCAGATATACCGTAGATTCAAATGCAGATATTACCCTCTCAGTCAGCTCCATAGACAAGCAACATGTGGCAATAATCATTTAGTATCCTTACACACATAGATGAAAGGGACGAGATAAAAGTGATGTGCAGTAAAAACTCAGTTTTCTGAAATAATAGGAGGAAGGAGGTGTCCATTACAATTGAATGTCAGTTTATAACAGTTAAATGACATGAATCACATGCAAATTGCTGTGATTCATGAAACTTAAATTACTTGTGCAAATCTGCCATAATTATACAATTATATGGATGCTGTCATTTTATACAAATTACACCAAAATTGTCCAGACTGCTTCAAAAACAACAAACTTCATCTATTATTTGTGGGCACAAAAACTAATGTTTCTTTCTTAGTCTCCTACATGTGTTTCTTTGGGTCCCTGTCCCCCTTCTTACTTCCCCTTCTTTTGGAGTAACACTGGAGGACGCTTTGAATTATAAACTCTTGATGAGCTCTTTAAAATATCACATAAGACAAAAGATAGAAAAGAATGCAGAAGTAAAAGGGGATCTCTTTTTAGCTTTGTTGCATATTTATAAGTACTTTTACACACTGTACATGGAACTCAAATAAGATTAATTTGGATTTGTTATACTCCAACACAGTGGTTCTCAACCTTCCCAATGCCGCAACCCTTTAATACAGTTCCTCATGTTGTGCGTAGTAACCCCAACCATAAAATTGGTGTCTTGGTTCCTAAGACCATCGAAAATATGTGTTTTCCGATGGTCTTAGGCGACCCCTGTGAAAAGATCGTTCGACCCCCAAAGTGGCCCCGATCCACAGGTTGAGAACTACTACTCTAACAGAAGGATTAAGCAAAGAAAAATTATGTGCTATTTTTCAATATGCACATTTACAGTATATTAGAGGTATCAGGTCAAAGTTGCAAACAAAAATGTTATTGCTATCCTGTGGTCATCCAAATTTTACTGCCCAGTTCTGGACAGTTCTATTTAACAATGTATAAAAGTATTGCTCTTATTCTTGTTAGCGAGAAGTTTTTATTAGTTTAATTTTTTTTGTGTCATGATGGAATATCCGCAGAAATAAGGCAAGCAACAGAAGAATCAATACAGATTCTAAACAAGCAATGCCAGCAAATCTGAAGAACAATACTATTACTAACAGATTAGAAGAGGTTGATCACATTCCTTTGTTCAGAAAGGGAGATTTAATAGTGTGCAAACTGCTGGGCAGTATTCTCAATTTCACATGCTAGCAAAATAATATTTAGACTAATTCAATGCAGACTGGAGCCATACAATGGAAAAGGAGATACCGGCTGGATTTAGGAAAAGTCAGTTAATACAAAACTTTGTTGCTGATGAATGTTGGATGATTGAGGAAGCCAAAGAATGCCCCCCCCAAAATTCAGCATGTGTCAAATTGATTATAGAATAGCATTTGATTGTGTCAGCCATGCCAAGATGTGGAATGTGCTTAGGAAAATGGGAATTCCAGAACATTTCATTATCCTCATGCAAAACCTATAGACAGACCAGGAAGTGAAAGTATGGGCAGAATATGGCAAAATAAACTCTGTCCAGGTTGGCACAAAGGAGTGAGGACTATACTCTCCCCATATTTATTCAACCAATATGCTTAATGTATTCTAAGCTGGACGAGAAAAAAGCAATCTGCTTTTAAAATTGGATGAAGAAATATCACTATCCTGAAATATGCAAACAGTACTCTGATAGCTGAAAATGCAAAAGTTATGCAGAACTATGGCTGTGCACGTGGTTAAAATGCAGCATTGCAGGTTAACTCGCTGTCCACTGCCAGGAGTTCGATCTTAACCATCTCAAGGTTGATTCAGGTTGACATCCTTCTGAGATGGGTAAAATGAGGACCCAGATTGTTGGGGGCAATATGCTGACTCTATAAACCACTTAGAGAGGGCTGAAAAGCACTATGAAGTGGTATGTAAGTCTAAATTCTATTGCTATATGCAAGTTCTAGTAATAAAAGCCAAAGGACAGAATGGGAAAAAAATGGGACTAAAATATAAAGAAGACAAACTTAATGACAACAATCAGCCTTAGAACTGACAATCAAGTTATTAAAATGGTAGTTAACTTCTACCTTTTCATGATCAATTATCAACAGAAAAGAATCCAATAGTTAAGAAACATACCCCAGACTAACACTTGGAAAAGCAACCATGAAATCTTTGGAAAAGATATTAAGATGTTGTGATGTGTCTATATCTACAAAGGACAGGCTGTGGCACTCCTTGTGATAAGGAAGGTTAGGACGTTAGAACTTAGAAAGAGAATTAACACATTTGAAATCTGGTTATTTCAGGAAACTCCTGAGAATGCTCTGGACAGCTAGAAAAATAAACAAATGAATCATCAAAGAATTCAATTCTCACTCAAGGTACAAAATGATCAGGCTCAAATTATCCTACTTTGGATGCATTTTGAAACCACCTAGCTCTCAGGAGAAGGCTCTAGTCAGTGGTGGGTTTCAAAAATTGTTCGAACCTACTCTGTGGGTGTGGCCTCCTTTGTGGGAGTGGCTTGCC